CAGTTGCGTAGCGGGGCCTAGAAGAGTGTGCGGGAACGCCCCTTGGCCTGACGGGCTCACCTCCTGGGCTAGCAGGCAGGTGGAGGAAAATGAGGCTAAGGCTCTCTAAAACACAGAATTCAGAAAAGGGACTGTTCTTGTGCGAAGGGTGCTGAGGACAGCACTGCCCTAGTCATTATCATTGAAATTTAGACCAGTGTGGCATTAATCCCTTTCAACTGTTGGTCACCTGCCTTTCATCAGCCGATGATAGGGTGCCAAGGTAAATCTATTGGCCAGAAGCTCTGTTTCCCGTAGGTTCTGCTGGATCCAACATATCCCATAGCTTTTGATTGTTGTGTTATATACAGAACAACTCTCCCCACCCTGGGACATCTACCCATCCCGACCGCTGCTGTCCCGTGTCTGGCAGCCTGGCTTTCAGGTGGCTCCAGGCTGAGCTGGTGGGACTATGGGACTTTCTTCTGTGCCAACCAAGAGCACAGGCAAGGAGCTCCCTCTGTGCCAGGTGTTCAGCGCTCCTCAAACACTGGAGAACAAAACCTGCACAGCCAGGAGAACTAACTTCCCCAGCGAAGGCACCTGGGGCTGATTTCAGCAGGCCTTAGGGAAGACCAGCCTCCTCTCCCTGGCTTGTAGGTTTCCTTAGCAAATGTTTACAGAAGGGCTAAGTCCTGAGGCTTCACCCTTAAGAAAATGGTAAAAAGAGCACATTCACTGTCACCAAGCAGGCGCAGATCATCACCCTGGACATAAAATCGTCCTAGGGCACAGCTGGAGGGAAAGGAAAGTTCAGAGGAGGGCATTTGGGGGAAGTTAGGCCAGGCACGAGTGACCTAGCACAGCTTCTTATGGACTATCACAGTAGGTGCTTCTTTGGACAAACCTTCAACATGCAGAGTACTCGTGACAATTTTTTCATCCAAAACCCCCAGGAGGGGAGCTGTGCTTCTGCATAAAGGAGGCAGAAACACTCCCCTTCCCTGTCAGCCCCACCCACGCCGCCCCGGAGCTGTCCCGGGCCAGCCTCGCTCAGCTGCCTTTGCTGCGGCCATGTGCGTTCTGGCTGCCTCTGTCAGGAAGGGGACAGGAAATTCTATTCACCCTCACAGCAGCTGCGCCATTCCTCCTATCCTCCTCCAGTGACGTCGGTCGGCTTTGGCGACAGGAGGTCAGGCACAGAGCGGCAGCGGAGGTCAGAGGGATAGGTCACTGTTTCTGCGCCGCCGGCCAGGGGCCCTGCTGAGACTGTTTGCCTTCTTCCTTTCTATACCGTTTCTCTTTCCGTTCCTCTTTTTTATACTGCAGAGCCAAAGCATCCTGTTTTCAAAACATCGGACTATTTTGCCACAGAGCAATTCATGCTCCGGTGCCCTTTGCTGAAGTTAAGACAGGTCTTCTAATTCAGGAGGTGATGAAAGTTGATACACAGAAATTAACGAGCGAATATTAGGTGGGATCTGCCGTTAAGTAGAACCCTCTAACAGGTCCAGCCCAAGTCGGGCAGCTGGCAGAAGGCTCACAGACATCCCTTTCACGGTGCAAACAATGTCATTGTCTCGTAAAACTCTGCCTGACCTTGCTCCTCTTCTTGTCACATTCTGGAGAAAATGATCTGTAGCACGAATCCACCTGCCTGCAACTGTCTCTCAAGTTTTGCAATTCTGTTTGGCCTGGGCCCAGCACTGAGGGGTCAAGAAGAGTTGGGCCAAAGGAGAAGCCTACATTTTTGTAAGTCACAGAAACAGTTCTGCAACTCCCTGGGCCCTGAAGTACACTTGGGAAAGGCAATTACAATCTTTGAAGCCAGGCATTGTGGCACACGCCTCTAATCCCAGCACTCTGGGAGGCTGACACCGGACGGCTGCCGTAAGTTCAAGGCCAGCTTGGGCTATACAGTGAGACCCTGTCTTGGAAAAAATTACCATCTTTGAGCTACTCTATCTCCTTCTGACTACAAAAGAGTTAAGGGAAACAATCCCATAAATAAAAAATAAGGTAAAACACAGCCCTACCCAGACGAAGTGAACAGGAAAGAGCACTTCTTTTTCCTCCACCAGACCCAAAACAACTTCCTATCATCTGCATGTAGACTGGCACAGGTGACCTGTGCACACCATACCCCAGTGTGCGACGCTGGCTCCCCCCTCGACACTCTGAAGGCTCCTGTTAGAAGCAAAACTCAGCGGTCACTTAGCAGAAACAGGAGTAAGGACATAGAGATCTGGTGTGATTTTGTATTGTATTGTTTTCGCAAAACTTGTAGATGCTGTCAATAAGTGACTGAACTTACACTACTCTTTAAGTACCTTGCGAAGCACTGTAAGTTCATTATTTCCGTCCACACAGCACCCGGCGGGGTGGGTACTGCTCTTCTCCCTGTGTTATGAGTCTCACAGCACTTAAGTAGTTAAGTCAAGTGACCCACGTCAAAGGTACAGCCCTACTTAGAGCCCTCATTCTCTACTGCAAGCTCAGACCCTCCGTATTCTCCCTCGGTAAAACTCTTCACACTGCTTTCCAGCTCTGTAACTTACTTGCTGAGAGGATGACTTTTCAGATGGCAACTTGGGCGGAGCCTCCGACCATTTAGACAGCATTTAAAATGGCATGTGGATTATTCTTATCACAGGTCATGCTGTCACCCCCAAAATAGATTAAATTTTTTTTTTTGGTAACAATAAAAACATTCTCTATCACATTAGATCACACGAGCCATAGTTTACATTAGGCTTAAACTCTACCCAAAGCAATTATGGGAAAAGTTCAGATGAAAAGCAGAGAGGGAAGTAGAAAAAGAGCTCTCTTTTTGTGCATTGCAATTGACTTCAGCTGTTAGGTGGGCGCACCCCCATCATTGCTTTGCCCTGCAAAGGGTGAGCTCTACGCAACTTTCATTGCTTCGTGCCCATCGCTCCATCAAGGAGAAGCAGGAGCCCAAGGGACTGGAGAATCTCACAGGGACCCACGAGGTGCCAGGTGTCACAGCCTGCTCAGCTGTGACGCTGAGCATGAAACGATTTCAAATAAGACCACATCCCACGTCAGCATCTCGGGCACAGATGTGGTCAGAGTGCCACAACACCTCAACACTTAACGTGAAAAAGGATTTGCAACTTGTATTTTCTCTGGAAATGTTCTCTACCTCCTCCTGCAGGTGGTTGTCTGCTTTAGCTTGGTGACACCATTGGCTCACCACGTCTGCAGTAGAAAAACCTACTGAAAAATGACCTCCAAATATTGGATCTATGTGTTGCCTAGGTATTAGTGTCAGATCCTAGAGCCCAGAATACCTGCTAATGCTCCCTAGGAGGCCAAGCAAGTGTGAAAGTCCTTCTGCACGGAGTCCCAGTGTGATTTGGAGAAGTTACGCAGTTCAAGCCCCCTCATGGGGAAGCAGTTAGTTGAGTTTTACACCAGCCTGGAAAGTCCCTGAAGTTAGCCCTCAGCTGAGCGTTTCAGTGAAATCAGTGAATGATATTTAAACTTCTGTGTACCATTTCATATTTCCACCCACTAACTTGCGCTATGAGCTAAAATTTCACTAAGGGTCTTATTTTTGCCCATTCATTCATCAATAAACAAAGAGCTCCAGAGTGGAAAGATTCCCGCTACCCAGAGCACCACCTTCCAGAATCTTCTCAGGATGCTGTGCTTCCTCTGTCCAGACCCCTTGAACAGGGGCCACTGAGCCTGGATCCAGAGCTGACACTTTGAACCCAGGGGAGGAGGAGAGACTCGGGTTCCCCGGGGCCCTCGGGCTGGTCAGGGCTTTCATCCAGATGTGCTACGAACCCTTCCCTGGCCTCAGAGATCTAAGACAATCACACAGTGCTTCCTGCTGGAATGACCAGGGAGCCTGAAAATGTGCTCTTGGGAGAGTCTAGAGCAGTGATGGTGAATGCCCAAACTGCAACCCCAACCCTACTTCTCTATCACCAAGTGCCAACCCTGCAATTAAACCTGAATACTGAGGTTTTAGTTTAGAAAAAACAACTCGTACATTAACATCTTTTGTCTTAAAAGAAAAATAAATAACACACACGCCATAAGTTCGTCACCATCGGTAGAAGGTCAAGCCCTTTGTCAAATTATGTCTGCATATATATATATATGAAACTCCATAACTCTTACTACTATATATATATATATATATATATATATATATATATATATATATATTTCCTCCAAGGAAAAAGTACAAACAAGAAACAACAATAGACAACAACTCTCACTACATAACTTGCATAAATTAGAACTCCTAGCCTAGGTGTTAATTAAACAAATGATATGATAGATAATTAAAGCTCTGCAAGAATAAGTTTTGTCTGGATATTGCAAATAAAGCCCTTTTCTTGCAGTATGGGTGGAACTTGATTCCAATTTGAAAATCAGCAAACTTCAGAAAGAATAACTTTCTGTCTCTGGCAAGCATATTGTTTCTTTTTTATCTTAGGTCATGCCAACATCACAAAAGGAACAGTAGAAAATCCCCAAAGGTCCTCCTTCTCAGAAGGAGGAATTTATCAGACTTAAAGGCAAATCATGTTTTTCCTCATTGATATAAGCAGGTCAAATTATTTCCTTGTTTAAAATACATATGTACCGTAACACCTCATGGCAGTGTGACATGTTACACATTCTACCCCATCCAGATCTTAAGTTTTCCGGCAACTATAAAAAGAAACATTTAAAAAGAACCCATTATTTTCTTTGGTGGAGTGGTCGGGAGCTTTATAGAACTCTATCAGTTTCAACGTATGTGAACTTCATCAACTAAGGTAAGTTTGGTTTTAGCCATTAAAGCTTACTGAGGGTTTTAAACGGTGGCTGCAGCACCAAGACCCAAGCCAGTGTGGAATAGTCGTGTGAGACACAGCCACAAACACTCTCACAGCGGCTGGGGCCGCCCGGCCCAGGCTGCTGCACACAGGACCAGGACGGGACCAGGACCGGGACCGGGTCTCCCCTTCTGGGACGACGCGGAGACTGTCGCTTACCTTGTTGGAGGCCATCTCGCTGACAGAGCGGTAGGTCTGGATAGTCTCTAGCTGGTCCAAGCACCAGTCCAGCTCCTCCAGCGTTTCCATTGCTAACTTTTGATAAGGTTCTTCTGCAAACAAACACACGGGCATGTAGTCAGGCTGCAGCGGCTGCAGGCTGTCCATAACAGAGTCCACGCTGCCGCCGCCGATCCCAGCGCTACTGAAGGTGCCCCCTTGCTCCTTCATTATTTACTCGCGGCTCCTTCCTTCCAACTCGCTCCACCAGGAGGACAAATCACCGCGGTGCTCTGCCCGGAGGAGGACGGCCGGCCCGGCCAAGTCCACACTCCCCGCCTGGATGAGGTGTCAGTAAACTACCGAGAAACTTCCTGAGGAAGAAGGCGGGGACCAGCTCGCTAGGCTCATCTGCATAAATGTGCCCTACAACTAAGGGCAGAGGCAGCCGCGTTTTCTCTCTGCCTGAGTCATCCTGGGGCTCTTTAAGGTGTGTGATGTCATTTCTGAGTGTTCGCACCCGAGAGGAGAAGTGAGCACAGCTTCTCCTCGCCGTGCTTTTCTCCTAAATGAAGCCGGTGGTGGGAGTCGGGGAAACCGGCGATCGTTACGTTAAACACTAGCTCATTCATTCCCGCCGGGACGCCTTGGAATAACTTTGGATTCAGCAAAGCCGGGCCCGCAGGAGTCGGGACTGCAGGCTGTTCTTTCCTCTCCTCCAAATCTCTCTTTAATTAGAGGCAAATGAGGTCTCCCTGATAAGACTTCAGTCTAGGAGAAACTGTCTGGGCTTCTAGGTGAACACGTTTGTTGGCCCGGGAGTCTCCCAGCTCTTGTTATACTAAACAAAGCGAAAACCTCCCTTCTCTGCAGGGCCCGGATCACAGGGAAATTCTGAACCAGACTTTCAGGTGGAGCCACACGGGAACGCCGAAGACCTGTGTTTGGTCAGAGCTGGGGGTTCTGACAGGGCCCTCAACAAGCTGCCTCTGGAAATATTCTAAGGACACCCGACAAAAAATACTATTTTCAAGATCCTATTTTCGCTGGACAATTCAGACTCTTTTGGACTTATCCACAACATGCCATTGCATATTCAACAGTCTGTGGGTCTAAAGAAATACTTCAAGTTATTGACTTAAGAAACCTATGTTAATAAACACTGAATTAATTTTATAATGCTAGATGAATTAATGGAGTGGCAGACAGTTATATAAAGCAGCCAGACTCTCACACATAGTTGGCTGTTTGTCAAGGGGAGCAACACCCTTTAATTCGACCAAGCTGTCTGGAATGCAAGCGTACAATAAGCACTAATGACAAATTTAAAAAAAAAATCTCGTACAGAGTTCTAATATAACATTGCTGCCAGATTTAGAACACATTGTTATACGGTTATGCAAAAATCCTAGCAGGATCATATAACTTTTTATTATTGTATGAATTTTTTATGAGCATGTGGTCTTCAGATAGAAGCATGCTTCCCAATGAGTGGAACCCCTATTTCAGAGAATTGCTGCTCTGTTTGATCCTCAATATGTGGGACACTTCCTGATAAACAAGGGTTAACACTCAATATCCTGTATGTCATATTTGAAAACCCACAAAACCGCAAGAGGTAAATTCCTCCGTTCTTTTTTCACACTCCTCAAAAATGTGCAGACAAGAATTGGGGTGTTTTTAATAAAACTCTTTTCAAGCCAGACTTGCACACCTCCCTCTGTTTTCTTCTTCACTCCTGCAATTCTACCTCAAGACAGAGATTCCCCTCTCTCCCTAGTGTATCTGCTTCCTGGGTTTCTTTCCAGAAGAGACTTTCTGCCAAGGAAGCTTTTCCTGAAGGGACAGAGCCCTTCCATCCTTACTCCCTGCCCTCCTGGGAGAGAAAGTCTAACCACTCCCCTGGTGCCTCTACTTTACAACCTGTTGTTCTTTGAGGCCAGGGTCAGACATTCACCCCGACAGCAAAGAGTAAATAGTTTGCTCAGAGCTCTGGGAATCAGCAGATAGGCTAAACGACTGCAGGATGATAAGGCACGTTTCTTCTTAAGAAGAGGAAGAAGGAGATCTTATTTCCACTCCACCTGCACGTAGGAAATACAGTAATTATATAAGCAGAAGCGCGCAGAAAAAACAAAAGGACACTTCGAAGCTGTAATGATTAGGTATGGGTGCCACAGCCCACCCATTGTCCCTCTCAGGACAAGCAGGCAGCCGACTTCCTCCTAGCCTGGGTCCAGTCTGAGATGTGGGTGTCTGGCTGATTGAAGCGATAGTGCCTTGACCCATCACCTGCTTTTTTCAGGCCAACAACAATATTTTTTAAGCAAAAGTTATTCCATTTTGAAGTTACGTTCAACTCATCACTTCCCACATTCTTAATCTACAGCCAGGATTTTCCTCCCAGCGCATGTAGTGTGGTCACTAAAGCAGGGGGCACAGCGGGCACTGATACAAATGGGATAAGCATGGCGTGGGTCACCTGCCACTCCTTCCTGCTACCCAAGAAAAGCACCCGCGTGGCTCAGGGGAAACCTGCACATTGTGGCTTCACTTCTGGTATTGTTCCCCAGCAGACACCCAGGAAATCCTTGGACCAGCCAGTGCGCCTGCCCGAGCATCCCTGGCAAAATGGGTCGCACGCACCAGCTTTGGGGCAAGTCAGAAAGACTTTCTTTTCTTACACTCACTATGTGATCCTGGACCTCAGTCTCCCACGTATGTAAATTAAAAATAAAAACATTTGTCTCATGAGGTTATGAAGGGGGTAAAGTACATCAAGCACCTAGTGAACTTGCCAGTCCTTAGACAGCCGGTGCACAGGAGGGGTTAGTAACGGCACTCAGAAGCTCCATGGCCTGACGCAGTGGACAGAGGCGAGCGTGACATCCAGCCGGAAGGAAGGCTGCAGAACGGCACCTTCACCAGGGGATTTTACCATCGGCATCTGCAGCATCATCTGCTCCTTGCTCAGACAGCAAGAAAAAGTGTGCTGCTCTTAGAAGCTTCTAGAGTTCGAAGATTTTTTTCGCCTCTCTCTTGCATTCTCTCTCTCTGCCATGATATGTTTTTCTAAACTTCTTATTTCAAAATATTTTTAGATGACAGAAAAGTTGTGAGGATAACACAGAGTATCACATGCTCCACCTCCTGGTTTCACTAGGGTGAACGTCTTACATTATTCTGGTACATTTGTCACATGAACTAGTGGTTGGGTGAGTTTAGTTCATTTCCTATTCCTTCTGGCATAGGGACACCATGGGGAAAGAAAAGCCCCTCCTAGATGACCAAGAGACCCACATCTTATGACTTAGGGTGCACACATAGCTCAAAAGCTGCGGGGTCTCCCTTCCTGCCAGGGCCAGACTGATGTGCTCTACTACGGGCAGGGTTGACTCCCGGGAAGTAGAGTCGGGCGTTCCGTCTTCCCATGGCTGCAATGTAGTACTCCACCTCAGTCAGCCCTAGAGGGGTCCTTACATGGACCCCAAGAGTCCTACCACTTCTTCACTGGGTCATGCTGGGATCAGAGGTGATCCTAGGTACACTTCCTCCAAGACAAGGTCTCTGTCTATCACAGTGTGGCCAGCCCAGGCCAGGGGCAGCTCCTACCACATGCTGCTTAGATCCATCAGGCAGATGTGCTGAAGTCAAAACCTCCTTGTACCTGCATGCTGGCCCCCGCTGTGGTGCAGGGAAGTGGTGGTCATGGGTGGGGCAGAGGGAAGGAGGTGGGGTGATTCTTGGGGTGCTGGGGGATCAGAGGGAGAACACAGCTGTGACCCTAAGTTTGAAGATATAGCTCAGTGCTCTAGCGCTTGCCTAGCATACCCAGGAGCCTGGCTTTGATCCCCAGCACCACAAAAAAGAAAAGGTCAAATCGGTCAACCAATCAATCAATAAATAAATACAATAACCCTCCAAACTGTGAGACCCTGCCCGGGAGAGACAGAGAGGTGGCAAACAATGGAAGAGGGAACGAGGCAAGGCTCCAAGCTTTGCACACCAATTGTGCTGTCCTGGTAGACTCCACCTATCAAATAAAACAAATTCTGACTTTCAGCACAGCAAACCCGGAGCCCTGTGAGCACAGAGTCTCCGCTCCTGAGGTTCTCGGTTCAAAGGAGCAACGCTTCACAGCGCAGCAGCAAGTCTCATGCGAGTCCGGGCGGGCAATGCGACCAGGATGGTCATGCAGTCAATCCTACTTTGCAAGGTTTTCCGGGAGAAGGAGTAGGGAGAAGCAACTCCCTTCCCTTCCTTAACGTTTTCCCTCTTTCCCTCCACCAAAGGAGTCAAAGGAAAACTTTCTTCTCCAGTAGGTCTGGTAAGGATTGCAACTGACCCTGAGAAACAGGAAGAGCAAACAGATGAATAATTGCAATGAATATTAATCTGGTGGCACTGCTTGAAGACATCAAAGAGCTTCTCACAGGAGTTCCAAACACCCTGCTCACGAATCCTTGCGACATCTCTGGGTGACAGATGTGGAAGAGGTGTGACTGTCTGTAGTTCACCGTGAGGCACAAGCTCGGAAGTCAGAGGTTAAATTACTAAAGCAAATAGTCCCCTCTAGCTTCCTGGCAAGACTATATCTTGATCTACGAAATAGAGGGCTTAGTACAGCACTGTAAATCACACACATTCCTGAAAATGCTGCATTAAAGCTACGCTGTATCCTTTAGCCTGTCTTTTCTATTTAAAATTGCACAACTGCTTCTCTAAATGTTGTCAGTGCCCTAGTCTCCTCTTCTCTTTTCTGATACATCTAACAAAGCCTGCGCAGACACCTGCGCAATGTTTTCGCAGAAGCCTTGCTGCGGTGCTCAGCCTGCCCCAGGCTTCTGTGGGTGACCTCAAGCAGATTCAATTCTCTGCGACTAAATTTCCTTCTCTCTAAAATGAGGGAAGGAAAAATACCCTACTCTCGTGGGGAAGGCAGGTAGGAGAACACACACAAAAAGCAGGCAGTAAATCTTTGTGATATACCATTGCAAATCTCTTCTTTGTCATTGCAGATGGGATAGAGGCGCACTGTAGAAGTTAGGTAGTCACAGAGAAGCAAATCTTCAACAAGTCTCACATTTTTACCAAGTAGAGCTTCCCCACTGTT